TACCAGATACGACGTGACCTCGAAACTCGAACTCGGGGAGGAAGAACTCTCACTTAGACAGCTTAGAGTACAGTTGCTCCCTTCGCAAGACCTCGAAGTTGTGCAAGTGCTGCACGTGCTCCTCTTTCACGTTGGAGAAGACTAGGATGTCGTCTACTTAAACTATGATGAACGAACCTAGGAACTCGAAGAGGACGGTGTTCATGTGCGTCTGAAATATTGCTGGGGCGTTGGTCAAGCCGAACGGTAGAACCCTAAGCCCGCACAACCCCTACTTCGTACGAAACGCCGCCTTGTGCTGGTCCTCTGGAACTACACGAATCTGGTGGTAACCCGAATGAAGGTCGCTCTTTGAGAAAACTCTAGTGCCCTGCACTGCATCTAGAAGATCCTCTACTCTCGGCACCGGGAACCTATTCTTGTCGGTGACGGCGTTCTGTGCGCGGTAGTCGATGCACATCCGTAACCCTCCGTCCTTCTTGGGTGCGAAATGGATCGATGCTACCTAAGGGGATCTAGATGGTTGTATGAACCCCTGGGCTAGAAAGTGCCTAACCTGCTGCGTCATCTCCTCTGTCTCTGCTAGACTTCACCTCCACTACGGCTTCGCTACTGGCCTGCTTCTCGGCTCCAACTCTATCCATTGGTCTACTTCTCAGCTGAGAGGCAACCCTGGGGGCAACTTGTCGGGAAAGATGTTTGCAAACTCTCCTAACATTGCACTCACTTCAGCAGGAAGAGTTCTCTTTTCGCCAACTGCTGCGCTCCCTCCTTTCCCCTCCTCAGCGTAAAAAACCGCAAAGATCCGTGCCGCTCACTTGCACCAACTGTCGCACACGAACATCATTGATGATAGCTGTAGTTGATGTGGCCCCATTGCTCTACTGTGGCAGCTCCTAGAACTCCACATCTAGCTTGACGCTGCAGCTTCCCTGAGCCCAATCGAACTAAGTACCAACCATCCGTAGCCAATTCATACCGAAGATGGAGTCGTAACCATCCAGCATCGCAGAGTCGAAATCACGCCTAACTGTGATCGGTCCTAGCACTATGCGGAACTTGCGAATGATCGGTCCTATGTGAAGAGGCGTCCCATCTACCATGCACGCGTCCTTGAAGTTGCTTGCGGAATCTGCTTCAAAATGGAGACGGCTAACTAGTGCAGAAGAGATGAACGAGTGGCTACCTCCGCTATCTACATGAATCTTGACTAGTACTCCACGAAGCTTCTCTAGAAGTGGACGATCAATAGTCTCTACCTCGTTCGGCATAGATGACTGTTCTAAGGCCGTCCCCTCTACGTTGGTAGACTTGGCGGGTTCGGAGGCGTTCACACCAGCTATCAAATCGCTTCCTACTGTTAATTTCCGTTTCCCTGCTGCGCTCCTTAAGCTGTGGACAGTCCTGTTTCATGTGCCCCAACGTTTTGCAGTGGTGAAAGTTTCCCCTAAATCCTGTTCGTTGTGAGACATCACTATCAACTGCACCAATTTCCATGAGAGGTGGTCCGTCCCTTGATCGAGCGTCGTTGATCGATTTTTTGTATCCCCTATCACGATCGCCACAACCCCATCGGCTTCGTACTGCATCGATGCGCCCTGCTGCTGCGACTACCTACTCAAAGGTGGACAACCCGTGAATCGCTATAATCTCCGTTATGTCTAGCTTCAACCCTTCGAGGTGGCGATCGCGCATCTCTGCTCCCGTGGTGTTGTCTATCTCATTGTACATGTGCAGGAACCGTTGTACGTGGTTTCCTCTGCTGCATGCTTTTGTCTTCCAAGGCGGAAGTTCCACCAAATCTTGTTTAGCTGCTAGACGACCTCTTGCTAGACACGAAAATCAGTGTAACAAAGAGTACGAACACTGATTTATCAGCGCTTTAGCAATACTCGAATATCAGTCTTTTCAAGACGACGACACCGAAAATCAATGCTTGTCCTCCAAGACCCTGAGTGATCAGTGTGCCCTGAAACCAATATGAGGGTCTGTCAATATCCATCTTGACCAATATGTAGATTGAATGCACAGTTCTTTAGCGTGAAGCATTTGATTCAATCCAACAACGACCCGCCCTAAATGGGCCTCCATGCCTAAGAGCGCATAAAATCCACGAACAAACATGGTTCGATTCGAACCCTCAACCATACAGAACTCTCGAGTACATGCGTTTTTTTAATTACGTAAAGGGGCTCGAGAGTGGTTGCGAGGCATCACATTTGTTCAAACTGTGTGACAAGGGAAAGTATGTGCCAGCTACTATGTTTTTCATATTCTGTCACATTTACTCACATGTTTACTCAAACACTATGCATTTGGTGGATTTCTTTCACGCGAAATCCAAAATTACTTTCAAAGTTCATCCTGTTAGGCAAAACATTTCCGACACGTATCCTTTCTCTAACCATCCGAGGCAATTTCGCTGGTAAGTACATACTGGGTGAGCATTATAAAAGAAAAATGTTATTTAGAGTCAAGGGGTTTACCCATTTGGTGTGAATTTTTGCGGATTATTATTTACAATGTCTATGGGCAGAAGTTTTCAACACACATCCTTGCTTGTGTAGATTTATGTGCTGCTGAATCAAATGTTTATTTTATAGGGTATAAAACAAACTAAACCCCCTAGGGAACTAGGGGCATTTTTCAACGCATCAACCCTAAACACCTTGCCAGTTTCCATATTTAGGGTTGACCCTTCCCAAATCGCAATACTTTCAGGGCGTCAACCCCAAATAGTTTGCCACTTCCCATGTTTAGGGTTGATGCTTCCCGAAATGGGTCAGTGTCCCTAGGGTTATCTTTTGTGTCAACCGCTGCGTCAAAATGTTTCAGAGAAATCGCGAGGGGCACGAGGTGATTTTTTATCTATATCTAGACATGAAACGTGACACTAATATGGATGTCACGTGTCTAAAGTATCACTAAATGAATAAACATATGAGTACAAAAAAATGCAAATTTTCTGACCCACACAGCAGGCCCTATGATATAAGGATAAAAGATCATGATACTTTGATTTTCCAATGTGTGTCTAGGAGCTGTGACCTGATTTTTCAGGATCTGGTTTTTTTTAAGCCCTGTGAAATTAGGATTCCAGATTTGCATGTTTGAGGATTGAAGATCCACTTCAGAAAATATTTATTATGATCACCTGGGTACAACACGAGGCTCTATATAGGCACGAAACATGGCAAGGTAACCAGGTGTTACGAGAAGGTTCCTAGGTTTATGAAGCATCGGGAACAGGCCCTTCCTGAATTCGGTAGAATCAATTCGGCGGAATCACGCGTACGCAAAGTCACGCGGTATAAACTGAAATGAAACAGACTTCGGTGCACGCAACCTAGGTTGGTGCTATAAAATAGCTATAGTAAAGCAATGAATATAGGAAAACAAGCACAAATGATAATAGAAAATATATATATAATATGGGTACGCACTGGCAGTGTACTCTCACACGCCCCCCCCCAAGCTGGGTGGCGTGAAAAACACCTTGCTTGACAAGATAATCCTTGAGAGCACGGCGTGCGTTGCCCATATCAGCTTCTGTAACCCAACTATCATTTGACGGGCCATATCCCTACCAGCGAATCAGGAACTCAAACGTGTTGCCGCGTCTGCAGTGAGGTCATGTTCCACCTCGTACGCTGGTTCATCTTGTACGAGAACAGGTGGCGGCGGCGGTAGCTGGCATTCCTGGAACTGTTGGTTGTGGTCCTTGTAGGGCTTCAGAAGCTAAACATGGAAAGCGTTGTGAAGCTTCCACGTAGTCGATAAGCGCAAGCGGAATGTTACTGGTGTCACCATGGCTTCAATACGAAAAGGACCACAGAAGCGAGGCCGGAGCTTGGACGGAAGGTGGGAGAAGTCCAAGTTGCGTGTGTGGAGAAGAACCTGATCTCCGACTGCCACTGAGTGATCTCATCGCTTTCAATCGGCATACTGCTTCTGGGAGTTTTTCATCGTGGTGAGATGCCGCTAAGTTTTGTGGGGCTTGGACGTGTGCCGATGTGGTTGGGTTGCTGTGGTGTAATAGGTTCACGTTCGTAGCACATGACGAAAAGAGATTTCCCTATGGCCGCATGAGATGCCCTCTTGTAGGCGAACTAAAGAGTCAGTAACTATAGATCCCAGTGGTATGGGTAGTGATAAAGTCCAGACTAACAACCCACAATGGTTGCTCTGGTATGGGTAGAGGCTGAAGTAACCCTACTTGTTTCTGTTTGCTACTCTTCATCAACTAGCACGTGTCGCACGAGGTGACGAACTGTTGTACGTCGGTTGCCATCCGGGGCAAGTAGTAGTATTTTCCTATTCCCGCACAGGTTTTGTTACTTCCGAAGTGTCCTGCATATGCCACACCGTGGAAATCCTCCGGTAAAATATGTCGGAGTGGGGCGTAGTTTGGAACCCAAATCTTTCCAGAACCCTTCCATACTCCTAAGTCCTTCTCCCACTGTAACAATTTGTGCTTCTCTACCGTTGTTATCTCTGCGTCAACAGAGTACCCATGTTGGAACAAGCCTCTACGCAGGGGGCACATCCCGTCGAGATGGATCCCCGCCACATCCCGTCGGCCTTGTTGTGTAACCCTGATTTAGACGGTGTCGTAGTGGAAATGTGTCTCGAGGAAGTCCATGTCAGAATAGGAACGAAGGAATGACTGAACTAGCAAGCAGTTGGGTACAAGTAAGAAACCTAGAAGTGTTGTACCCTATATGAACTACCCCACTACAGCCTACACAGACTATATCATATAAGTTTGACACACCCCCATAGGCAAAGTGGGGGAGAACAAGAGGTCACAAGACCGGTCAAGAGAGGCAAAGCAAGCTCAGGGTGGATCACGACGTCACCACGCATTCCGAGCACAAGCAAATGGCCACAAGGCCAGTTCACATACAGAAATATAGAAAGGAGAACAAGCAATACAGTGATCACAACCTAGCAAGTGTAAGCATGCAGGTATATGTATAGAGATCACAGTACAAGCAGAGTCAAGAAGTAAGCAAGTGAGGCACAGTAGGAACAAGGCCTAGAACAGTACAGAAACGCTGATGATCACAAGGCTGGAGTGCCTTGGTGAAGACATCAGCAGTGTTGGCCTGAGTGGCCACGTAAGCAAGACGAAGCTGACCACGCTGCTGCAACTCTCGAGCAAGGAAGTAGCGCAGAGCGATGTGCTTCGTTCTGTGCTCCAGTCTGTGCTCCTGACACAAGGCAATCATGGCCTTGTTGTCGACGTACAGCACTGGAGGAGAACGAGGCAGCTCTCCCAGGTCGGTCAGCAGGTAGGTGAGCCAGCGTAACTCCTGTGCAGCCATGGCCCCTGCGTAGATCTCAGCCTCACAGCTGGAGCTGAGAACAGAAGAAGAGCGAGTAGACCGCCAAGAAACAGAGTCGGAGCCAAGGCTGAAGGTGTAACCCTGTGACGACCGCTGCGTAGCCAAGTCGTCAGCCCAAGAAGCGTCTGCGTGACCAGTGAGGACAACTCGAGCCCGTCCTCCAAGCACGAGCCCCATGCCCGACGTACTGCACAAGTAGCGCAACACCCTCTTAGCGGCATCCATGTGCTCCTTCCTGTGACGGCCAGGAGCGACATAGCGTGCTAGGATGCTAAGAGGGTATGCAAGGTCAGGTCGAGTGCAGGTCATCAGGTACATGAGGCAGCCCACAAGCTCTGGGTACGGGCCACTCGGCTCTACGGACTCGTCCGAAGGTGGAGCTGAGAGCGAGTGACCGGTAGGCAGAGGAGTGGACTGAGGCGAGGAGTACGTGAAGCGGAAGCGCTGAAGGACCTGCTGCACCATGTGTGACTGAGTCAGGGTAATGGTGCGCTGTGCTTTGTCCCGGGTGATCCACAAGCCAAGATAGCTTGTCAGCTCACCCAGGTCTGTGCACGTGTGTCTCTTCTGCAGCTCCGACTTCACGTGGGCGAGTCCCTCAGTGTCAGAAGTAGCAAAGACCAAGTCGTCTACGTACACGAGAATGTAGAACGGCGGCAGAGTGGTGTCGGTGCGTAGAAACAGCGACGGGTCAGCAGTAGAAGGAGCAAACCCAAGAGCAGCAAGAGTAGTCCTCAGTGTGTCGTGCCACTCACGCGGTGCCTGGCGGAGACCGTAGACTGGCCGCCGGAGGCTCCACTGGGTACCAGCAGGAAACGACCTAGTGAAGCCAGGTGGGCGGCGCAGCCAGATCTCCTCGTGCAGGCTGCCCTGTAGGAAAGCAGTGCTGAAGTCAAGAGAGTGAAGCTCGTAGTCACGCTGAGCGGCGACGTGCAGCAGAACCCGAAGAGTGGTCATCTTCGGGGTAGGAGAGAAGGTCTGGAAGACGTCAACTCCCTCTCGCTGACTGAAGCCTCGTGCAACGTAACGCGCCTTGAAGACAGGTGGAGAACCCGGCGGCCGCTTCACCCTGAAAATCCACATGCCACTGACGATGTTCGCCCAAGGTGGGGGAACCTCGTCGACGTAGGTGCCTGTGGACTTCCAGGAAGCCATCTCTGCGTCCATGGCTGTCTGCCACTGAGAGGAGTAGGGACCCTCTATCGCCTCTGCGTAAGAGCGCGGGGTCGGGATGTCTGGTGCATCCGGGTCTCCCTCAGGGGCAATCAGCATGGACACGAGATGAGGTAAAGCAGCGGCAAAGCACTCAAACTCCTCCTGTCTGTCCTCAAGGACGTCCGTGCCAAGAGCACACTCACCCCCGACGGACGGAGGACAGACAGACTCAGACTCAGCAACAAGACTAGCGGCGTAGTCTAGACGACAGGCGGCAGCAAAGTCAACAAGCTCAGCAACTAGAGCAGACGCAGCAGTGGAGTCAAACGAAGGGTCAGTGACAACAATGGCGAGGAAACGCGTGACAGTAGGACTAGCAGCACGAAGGGAGTCAGACTCCGGGTCCGGACCGTCAGGAAGAGAGGACGCAGGAGGAGACGGCAAAGGGACACGCTGTGGAGCAGTGGAAGGACGCAGAGTCATATAGTGAGTGCCAGGGTCAGGAGGAGGACGCTGACGCGGAACACGACCAGTGCGGCGAGCGCGAACAGAAGACTCAGGACGAGACTCAGGCGACGCAGGACGAGACTCAGGCGCACGACGCTCCGTAAGACCTCTAGTCGGTCCAGAGTAAGGAGAAGGACCAGGCAGTGGAGAGGCTGGCAGTAACTGCGACTGCGACTGGACGGGCGGTGGACTCAGTAAGGGCGGAGGAGGAGGACCAGTAGAAAGCGGTAGGCCAAGAACCTGCTGAAGGAGCGGAACGTAGTACGGCCGCGGCCGCGCAGCGCCTCCAGAAACAGCAGAGACAGCACCAGTACCCTCTGCTCCAGGGTCTCCAGCTCCAACTCCCGCAGCACCACCAGCGGCAGCACCTCCAGCAGCTCCAGCTCCAACTCCCGCAGCACCACCAGCGGCAGCACCTCCAGCAGCACCAGCTCCAGCAGCACCAGCTCCAGCAGCACCTCCAGCAGTAACAGCTCCAGCACCTCCAGCTCCAACTCCTGCAGCACTACCAGCCCCAGCAGCTCCAGTACCTCCAGTACGAGCACCTCCGGGACCAGCAACTCCAGCACCTCCAGCAGCTCCAACACCTCCAGTACGAGCACCTCTAGAACCAGCGGCTCCAGCAGCTCCAGCACCAGCAGAAACTCCAGCTGCTCCAGCAGCTCCAGCAGCACCTCCAGTAGCTCCAGCACCTCCAGCAGATCCAACACCAGCAGGACCTCCAGCAGCACCAGTACCTCCAGCACGAGCACCTCTAGAGCCAGCGGCTCCAGCAGCTCCAGCACCAGCGGCACGGCTACAGCGTCGAGCGTACCACTCACGTAGCCACTGTGGAGAGAGGGGCTCCCGCCGTGACAAGACACCGGAAGGACCTCCAGACACAGCACGCTCAGGCTCAGCACCCCCAGACTCAGCACCCCCAGGCTCAGCACGCTCAGGCTCAGCACCCCCAGGCTCCGCACCCCCAGACTCAGCAACCCCAGGCTCAGCACCCCCAGGCTCCGCACCCCTAGACTCAGCAACCCCAGGCTCAGCACCCCCAGGCCCCGCACCCGCAGGCTCAGAACCTCTAGCAGCACCAGAGTCGACAGCTACCTCAACCGGCTCGACAGGGTCTACCTGGGACACACCTGAGGGGGCAGGACCCTGAGGGGGGAGGGGGTCTACCGGAGGAGTACCTGGTGCTAGGAAGAGCGGCGGGGGGGGGGGGGGGGAGAGGCAGTGCGGTAGGGAAAGAGACGGTAGTAAGAGACCGACTCGTCAATCGTGACGTCCTGAGAGTACAGAACACGGCGCGAGGTGGGGTGGTAAAACTGCCACCCAGGCGCGTCAGGGGGGAAGCCAAGGAAAACGTAGGGAACAGCACGAGAGGACAGCTTGTCCGCGGAAGTATCGCGGACAAAATCTCGAGATCCCCAGACACGGTACACAGACGCATCACCAACCTTCCCCGTCCACCGCAGAGTAGGTGTGGTCTCCGGCAAGGAGACACGAGGCTGAAGGTTGATCTGATGCGCAGCGTACTGAACCGCGAACGGCCACAGAAAATGGGGAGCAGCCGCATGGATCATGGACGTGCGAGCGACGTCCATGACCATGCCAATACGGCGCTCAGCAATCCCATTTTGCTGTGGAGAGGCCGGAAGCGTGAACGTCTGGCGGATGCCCTCCGCACGACAGAAAGCCCTCAGGAGGTCGGAGGAAAACTCACCACCTCTGTCCGAGTGCAGACGCAGAACAGGAAAGTCCGAGCCGAAACTCTCTCTGAGCTGGAGACGAGCAGCGCGGATCCAGTCGATCAACACCTCAGTGACCTCACCCTTGCGACGCAAGGGGAAGACTGTGGTGTAGCGCGAGCAGTCGTCAACGACCAGCAGGAAGTAACGCTCGTGACCCTGTCCACGGACGCGGGCTGGGCCCCACACGTCCATGTGGAGAGTCTGCAGAGGAGCCTCTGTCGGAGGAAACTCAGAGGAGTGAGGAGCGGCGCGCTGCCGGCCCTCAACACAAGGAACACAGGTAGGGGCAGGCCCCGGAGGAAGGGGAGGGAGGGACGGGGGGAGACCTGAAACAAAGACACGGGAGGCCATACCTCGAAGACGAGGCAGGGAGGGGTGACCAAGGCGGTGGTGCCAAAGAAGAGTCTCGTGTGACAGAGGACGACACGAGCAGGGGGCAGACGCCGGACTAGACCTGGACGCAGCAGCAAACACCTGACCAGACGCGGCTACCTGACCAGACGCAGTGGCAGGAGGAGACACAGTAGTCAGTGTGCAGAGGCTCGACCCAGGCCGACGGGTGAACGTGGCCAGGTGGCGGCCCGTCCGAGAGCAAGTACAGTGGGTCACACGCTGACCTCCCGGGGTGAACTGGTCAACCCACACGTCCTGGAGGTCAGCTCCACTCACCAAGTTCGTAGAGAACGAGGGGAGGTGGAGTCCCGACAGTAAGCCCGACGGGGCCGCAGGACACGGTAGAACCGTGGAGGAGTGCGCAAGGACTGGGCCCCCAGAGGGGTCAGCCAGGGAGACTGCAACCGGCCGACTGAGCGGCGTGAGTGTGGTGCTGTTGCGAAAGAAAGAGCACGAAGCACCTGAGTCAAGTGTGAAGGTGTGCAGGGCCTCAGTAGGTACAGTACCAGAGAGAGCAGACTCACCAGCACCTGAAGCAGCATACTCACTAGCACCTGGAGTAGCAGACTCACTAGCACCTGGAGCAGCAGACTCACTAGCACCTAGAGCAGCAGCCACAATGCCCGGGTCGGGCGGAACACACAGGTAACAGTCACCCTCAGCACTATCAGTCACAGCATACATGGCAGCAAGGATAGCATCGAAATCAAGATCAAAGATAGCAACATTCTGCTTCAGCAGATCACCCCAGCGGGGGAGCTCAACAGCGTCAGGAAACTGCGCACGCCAGGCGTCAGTCAGGCGACCGAAGCAGCGCTGCGAAGTGTGCGGCCCACCGCACGTCTCTCCACGGCACCCGCCTGTGCGAAGAACGTAAGTGCAGGGACCAACACCCCCAGCCCTCCCACGCCCAGCGTACCACTCACGAAGCTGCAGGGGCGAAAGGGTCTCACGGGAACGCGGCTGCTGCTGGCGCTGGCTACCGCCAAAGCCTCCACGTTGTGCGGTACCTCCTCGGCCAGCACCACCACCGCCTCCACCTCCACCGCCACTGCCGCTGCCTCCACCACCTGCACTGCCGCCCCCACTCCCGCCACCCCCACCGCCACCACCACCCCCTCCGCCCCCTCCACCGCCTCCACCGCCGCCCCCTCCGTCCCCTCCACCACCCCTGCCCCCCTTGCCCTTGCTGTTGCGGCGCCTCCCACTAGGAGCAGACGCAGCCCCGACCTCCTCATTGCCAACGAGGTCGACAGCATTAGCAGAAGCAACAGAGGGGAGAAGGGGGACGGGGGAGCACCCCTCAAAGAAAGGGGCGCGGGGGTCGCCGCGAGAAGCACCTACAGCAACAATACTCTTCTCTGCTGCAGTGAGGCGCTCCTCAAGCAGGTCGACGGTGAGCTCAGTGGGGCAAAGGGAGAGAAAGTGGTCCCTGACTGAAGAGAGAGAGTCTGGGAGACGGGTGACTAGGTAGTAGAGAGTGATGTACATGGGGGGGGGGTTCTTGGCACAGAACTCAGTGGGAAGCACAGCGCGGTAGCGGGTGTCACTAGTGCGGAGGTGAGTAATGAGGTCAGCGACTTGAGAAGAAACGAGGAATGAGAATCACTAAGGGAAAGTTGGGTACAAATGTAAACCCTAGAAAACTGTACCCCATATGTGCTACCCCACTATAGCCTACAGTAGCTATGTCATATAAATCTGACACACCCCCATAGGCAAAGTGGGGGAGAACAAGGGGTCACAAGACCAGTCAAGCAAAGCAAAGCAAGCTCAGGGTGGATCACAAAGTCACCACACATTCCGAGCACAAGTTCAAGGCCACAAGGCCAGTTCACATGCAGGATTACATATATATATAGGGCTAGACAAGCAAGAGCAGGTGTATATATATATATGCAATAGTACAAACAAGGTCAAGGGGTGAGCAAGTGAGGCAAGGTAGGCACAAGACCCAGCTGAGTACAGAAGCGCTGATAATCACAAGGCGCAAGTGCCTTGGTGAAGATATCAGCAGTGTTGGCCTGAGAGGCCACGTACGCAAGCCGCAGCTGACCACGCTGCTGTAGCTCACGAGCAAGGAAGTAGCGGAGAGCAATGTGCTTCGTTCTGTGCTCCAGTCTCTGCTCTCGACATAAGGCCAGCATGGCCTTGTTGTCTACGTACAGCACTGGAGGAGAACGAGGCGGCTCTCCGAGGTCAGTCAGCAGGTAGGTGAGCCAGCGAAGCTCCTGTGCAGCCATGGCCCCGGCGTAGATCTCAGCCTCACAACTGGAGCCGAGAACAGAAGACGAGCGGGTAGCCCGCCACGAAACAGAGCCGGAACCAAGGCTGAAGGTGTAACCCTGTGACGACCACTGCGTAGCCTGGTCG